AGTTTTATAGAAGAAGAAGAGAAGAAGAGATTGGATTTATACCCCGCCCTTCACTTGGAGTCTCAGAGCGGCTTACAAACTCCTTTCCCTTCCCCTCCCCACAACAGACACCCTGTGAGGTGGGTGTGGCTGAGAGAACTCTGACACAAACTGCTCTTTTTCAAGGACAGTTGTGCCAGAGCTGGTGACTGACCCAAGGTCACATCAGCAGGTGCAAGTGGAGGAGTGGGGAATCAAACCTGGTTCTCCCAGATCAGAGTCCGCACACTTAACCACTGCACCAAACTGGCTCTGGCTCACACATTTTTGTCTTAGCTCAGGAAGGATGGCTCCAGAGAAAACTAATTTATGCAGTAGCCAAATCGCTCGCTCACAACTTTCATGCCAGTAGCTCACAAAGTAGAATTTTTGCTCACAGGACTCCACAGCTTAGAGGGAACACTAGTGGCAAAATCCACTTGCAAAGTCGCTGAAGTAGATTGAAACTGCATTATTTAGCATGTGTGAAAGTGCTGGTGTTTTTCATTGCATGGTTTAAATATTTAAATGCTGTTTTAATGTTTTTTAATGTCCCGATGTTCATTGTCTCGGGGACCCTATTTGGGAGGAAAGGTGAGAGAGCATTTTTTAAAAAAAATCTAATGAATGAACTTCCGAAAGATAGAACTGGAATACACGTCTTGGGGTGCTGAACCAATTTTTCGCTCATGACCTGGAGAAAATGGCCACTTTGGAAGGTGGACTCTGTGGCATTATATGTTTCTGAGACCCCTCCCCTCCCAAAACCCCGCCCTCCTCAGGCTCCACCCACAAAATCTCCAGGTATTTCCCAACCCTGAGCTGGCGACTCTAGTATCACTGGATATTAAGATGGAACAAGGGCACACCAGTATAGGCCACAGTCCTTCGATGTGTTTGGCTTCCTCAACTCCTGTCCTAATTCAAAGTGTGAGTACCTAATTCAAGCATGCTAGCTCAAGCACGCGGTGGCTCAAGTGGTTAAGGCGCTGAACCAGTATAGGCCACAGTCATTCGATGTGTTTGGCTTCCTCAACTCTTGTCCTAATTCAAAGTGTGAGTACATAATTCAAGCATGCACGCTCAAGCATGCGGTGGCTCAAGTGGTTAAGGCGCTGAACTGCAGGCTGTGGAAGGTCGGTAGTTCAGCAGTTCGAGACCCGGGTGCGCCGCATGACGGAGTGAGCTCCTGTCTCTAGTTCCAGCTCCTGTCAGCCTAGCAGTTCAAAAGCAAGAAATTGCAAGTAGATAAATAGGTACCGCTTTGGTGGGAAGGGAACAGTGTTCCGTGCGCCTCAGTGTTTAGTCATGCCGGCCACGTGACCACAGAAACGTCTTCGGACAGCGCTGGCTCTTCGGCTTTGAAATGGAGATGAGCACCGCAACCCTAGAGTCGGACTCGACTGGCTTTCGAGCAAGGGAACCTTTACCTTTACTACCAAATATGTACAGCAGTTATATACTTAAAGATGCTGAATTGTCCCGTGGGTTAAACTCCGTCTGGCATCATCTAAAGCAAAGCCTTTCCACTTCCTTTTGCCTCCTACTTGAGCACTGACTCGCACAGACCTTCCTCTTGCTTATTTTGTTCTCATGTTGCTTGCCGTCTGTTGGCAGCAGTTTCTTTACCTGATCTGTGGCTTCAGCTCAGCTATTTAAAAAAGAAACGAGTCCTTCTTTCAGAGGTGATCCCAGCCAATCAGGAATCACAGAAATGTCTGGTGAGTCCCAGTGTTCCCCCTAAGCTGAGTTAGTGTGAGCTGGCTCACAGTTTTTAGGCTCCGGCTCACACATTTTTGTCTTAGCTCGGGAAGGGATGGCTCCAGAGCAAACTAATTTATGCAGTGTGAGCACTGACTCGCACAGACCTTCCTCTTGCTTATTTTGTTCTCGTGTTTCTTGCCGTCTGTTCGCAGCAGTTTCTTTACCTGATCTGTGGCTTCACCTCAGGTATTTAAAAAAGAAATGAGTCCTTCTTTCATAGGTGATCCCAGCCTATCAGGAATCACAGTAATGCCTGGTGACCAGTGCTCCCTCTAAGCTGAGTTAGTGTGAACTGGCTCACAGTTTTTAGGCTCCGGCTCACACATGTTGGTCTCAGCTCAGGAAGGATGGCTCCAGAGCAGGCTTAGAGGGAACATTGCTGGTGACCCAATAGGATTGTACTATACAGTGACAACATAGGCCCCGGTCACACGGGAAGATTAGATCTGCAAGAGGGACGCATCAAGTGGGTGCGATCACACCGCAACATCTGGGAAGCGGCGCGCACCCGTCCCCGATCTGTCTCTTCCGGCCGAAAATGCGGAGTTAAAATAAACCTGCTAAGCACTACTACCTACCGGAAAATCCGCTGCACGGGCGGCCGTGTGATCGCCGACGCACCCGTCTCCTGCAGCATTCGAGGTCCCCTGCCAAACTGCGCAGGCGCACACATGTGCATCAGCCTCGCCTCGCTCTTCGGTCCGTGGCTTCCCCCTCGCATCTGATCGTGCCGGGGAGGAACTGCGCGGCAGCTCGGGGGATCTGTCTGATCCCGCTGCAGCGCTTCTCTTTTGCTGCGGCTCTGAAAAGCCACACTTCAGCCGTGCCTTTCCCCCTAGTGTGACCAGGGCAATAGAGACAAATCCAAATAAGGGGTGGAAGCACTGTGCTCACTCAGAACAGGCTTTCTCAGGATACCACGTAGCCAGTGAGGTTTGGCTAAATGACGACCAAATCAAAGTGAGGGCCTCGCTCTGGACGGGCAAACATATGTATTCCATTTTGCAGGCCCTGCTGAACAACTGCTGACAGGAACAAACACTTTTATGTTCTCCCATATAGTTGAATAGTAGCTGTTTATTTCTCTCAATAGGAGCAAATGTCAACAATCCAATTGTATATGGAGGGAAGTGGAGCACTGCTCTTGGTGGTGCTACAGCGGTGAGGACAGGACCTCTCTTCCATCCCTTACACTGAATCACTTACCCTTCCATTTGACAGAGATCCTACAAGAGGGTTGCAATATGTCTGGATGTGCGAAGATCACAGAGATGCTGTCCGCACACGCTGTTTTAGGGATCCCTGGAGAATACGAGTGCATACACACCCCTTCTGTTTAGAATGACAGGCGCGTCATTAGTAAATACATAGAAACCAAGCTCCTAGTTTTATAAATATCTGAAAGTGCTGTCTCGGCCATGCACAGCTTTGGGTTCCTGTTGATGTTGTGTATCCCCTCGGAAACGTCTGCATTGTGGAAACCCTCCCAGGCCTTGGACGTCCAGAATCCTTCAACGAGCAGTTGTCTAGAATGTTAAAAAGGAAAAGGGACTGCAATACCAGTGAACAGTTTGTGAAGAAACCAGCCAAACCTTGATTAAGGTGTGAATAAACTCATCAAAGGGAGCCACTGTGGTATAGTGTTGAGAGAGAGAGACAGACAGACAGACAGAAAGACACTAGGATCTGGGAATAGGGTTGCCAACCTCCAGGTATGGAGTGGAGATCTCTCAAAAGTACAGCTGATCTCCAGACGATCGAGATCAGTTCCCCGGGAGAAGATGACTGCTTTGGACTCTATGGCATTATACCCTGTTTGCTTATTTATTTATTTATTTATTTGATTTATACCCCGCCCTCCCCGTCGAAGCAGGCTCAGGGCAGTTGTTGAGGTCCCTCCCCTTCCCAAACCTCGCATTCCCCAGGCTCCATCCCCAAATCTCCAGGTAGTTCCCAAGCTAGAGTTGGCAACCTTATCTGGGAGTCCTGTGTTCGAACCCTCAGTCTCCCACGAAAGCTTGCTTGGTGACTTTGGGCCACCCTCTCAGCCTAACCTACCTCACAGGATTGTTCTTGTGAGGATAAAATAGACGAGAGGACACCAACATAAGCCACTTTGGGTCCTTATGGCAAAGTGAGTGGAAAGCTTTAACCCAAGGAGAACTGGGTGCGTTGAGCTTGTTGGCGACAAGTGAAAATGCTTGAATTTAATTTCTAATGGCCATGTCCCTTGCAAAGGCAATTCTTGTACTGGAAAAGAGTCTGTTGTTTTTTAAAACTTAATGTCGTTTGGATGGCGGCTCAAACTGTCGCACTGGAAAAGCAGGCTGTCCATCGGATGCCCTAAATCCTGTCTCTTTTGTATGTTTAAGGGCCTTTAATTTCCTCTTCTAAAAAAGCCCCAGTGGTTTGGAGTGGCTGATAATCTAGTCATGGCAGGCCCGTTTGGAAATCTGCAGTGTCTTAAGTTCAGCGAGAGGATGCAAGACACCCTCTTTTTGGCCGCGTTTTCTGACAGGAATTTCCTCTGATTTTAGCTTCCTCTCACAAGGGACAGGAGGAAAATGTCCTAATCTTTCAGACGTCTGAGGTGTGTCTGAGGAGAATGATGGTGTCTCTCGGGGAGGAAACACCCACGTCAAATGTGTCTGCTTTTCAACAGTCTTCTCCAACTTAGCTCACAGCGCATAACCATTGGTTGTGTGATGCAGAAACCGTAACTCTGGGACCACTTCAGCCTAGCGGTTAGAGCTAGGTTTGCCAAGTCCCTCCGGGGGGCGGGTAAACTAGGGCTCCCAAATCTCGCCAAATCGCGGTGGGGGATCGCATGTCTTTGCAGAACCCCTGCCGTGGGGACGGCGAGACGCGTTGCACCGCCGTCGCCAGGACATGATGCTACGCGTCGCTCTGGCAGCCCCGTTGCCAGAGCGACGCGTAGCGTCATGTCCTGGCGACGGCGGTGCAACGCGTCTCGCCGTCCCCGCGGCCGGGATTCTGCAAAGACATGCGATCCCCCGCCGCGATTTGGCAACCCTAGGGTAAACCCCCGCCCGAGAGGCCTGTTACC